CTCTAACCTTTTTCAATTTGATGGGGGCAACAGCTTCTAATGTATTAGAGAAGATAGTGCCCATGTTGCTAGTCATGATAACCCAGATGATAACGCGGAGCCATATAGTTAATACCAGTAATACGCAGCATGCACGATAAAAGGAAATGGTTAGTAACATCATCACTTTGAGGTACGATATCTATATCAGTAAGATCAATTCCATGCGATATAATTAAATCTAGTGTATGATTAAAACGATGAAACCTGTATCCTGTCTTCTGAGTAACATTGAGAATATCACTATATATTGTTGCAACACCGCCGCCACGACCAGTCTGACGGGGCTCATGCTTATAACAGTAGCTTGGTGGAGTAGACTCATTTAGACAAGTGTGTGTGTGTTAAAGGTTCATGAGACTTAAATCATACAGCTTCTCACTAGTTGTTCTTGACATTTGTTCCTCAAAGATAATAAAGGAATCATTAAATTCCTTAAGATTCGCATGCCTCATGCTTTTCAGCCTCAAAGTGCCACATCCTCATGTGGAAAGCAGTCGGGCAGCAGCACTTTCACTCGCCGCTATCGCACACGAGCCCTCACCTCTCATGTGGATGAGACCCTCTTTGGGACACCAAAACAGGTAGAAATAAGCCTACTGCACAATGGACATTGTCTTGGGCATTGAATGAAAATAAAAAGGAAGACTCAATTGTCTTTTGTCTCAGCATTCTGCTGGTGATATGAAAGACGATCCTGAAGGCGGAAGCGTGAGATTGAAGACATGCTCTGCTCCTGCACCCAAAGAGCCAAATTTAGAGACAGTGCACATCATCACTAAAGAGCTTATCAGGGACCTCAGGCAAGTAGAAGCAAAGGGTTTTTGCAGTGTGGTTACATGTAGTTATCCTTATTGAGGTATTTGCATTACTTGTTCGGACACTGACTTAAACCAAGTGTCAGAGAGTTTTGCACAGAAATAACTTTGTCACAGACTTTTATCCTACATGCAGCTTTAAAAAAATATGAGTCAAAATAACTTGACATTGTAGTCATAGGCTACATGCCTCTGTGTGTTGTTGTTTCATCATTGTTATATTAGTGCATAATCATTAAACTAGTCATGATTAAAAAAAAAAGAATGACAAAACTGCCAAAGAAAATAAACAAATTAGTAAGTACATCATTGTATGTGTTTAATTATTATTTTTAGTATCTAAAAGTATCAGCACAAAAGTATCTTGAACTCTACAGTCCAAGTTGATTTAGTCATTTTAAATAATATTAAATAAATCGGGGGTTCTCAGCCTCGTTCTTGGAGCCCCCCAACACTACATGTTTTCCATGTCTCTTTAATCAAACGCACTGATTCCGATCATCAGCTCATTCGTAGAGACTTCAAGACCTGAAATGGGTTTGTCAGACAAAGGAGAGATGCAAAATGTACAGTGTTGGGGGGCTCCAGGAATGTGGCTGGGAACCACTGAAATAAATTAATAATATATTTCCAGTGGTAATTGGGAGAAAATAGGTTAAGTTATCCCACACTGAAATTGGTTTAATGAATATGTAGGCCAATATGTTTGGCATTCAATTTACATCAGATCGATTTTAATGTCAGGTTTTTGACGTCAGTTTGATTTGCATATTTGACCTGTTTTTTTACGTTAAATTTGATGTCAAATTGATATCTTTTCATCATCAGTTGCCCACTGGGAGGTAAGTGCATGTTTTTATCCCAGTACGTCATGTTTTGTGTTTTCACAGCTTGCACTATTTTTATGCTCATTCTTTGGTTGTTGAACCAAAATCCCAAATGAGGACCCATCTGGGCAGTCTGTCATCCTGTCCACAGCTGAGTTCAGGCGAATCCTGGTGGAGTCTCATGTTCCTAGTGAAGAGGAGGAGGCAGCTGTGCTACAGGCCCAACGCCAAGCCCGTGAAGAAGCCATGGTGAGTCATAATTATATGTTTGAACCCCAGATGAATGCATGACATTATTTTTTTATATAATATACTACAATGTTACGTGTACTCTAGTTTTTTTTACACTGATCAGCCCTAACATTAAAACCACTTACAGGTGAAGTGAATAACATTGATTATATTGTATTGTTACAATGGAATCTGTCAAGGGGTGAGATATATTAGGCAGCAAATCAACAGTCAGTTCGTTAATTTTATATGATAGAAACAGGAAAAATGGGCAAGCGAAATTAATTGAGCATCGCAGTTTGCTGTGTATAGGGCTGTGCAGCTGAAGACTGGTCAGAGTGCTCATGATGACATAAGTCCACCTCCAAAGGAACATGATAAAGTGATCAAGGTGTTGCCTTGGCCTCCAAATCCAATCCATGGTTGCCCCAACTCGTAATATGCAGGTTTTAAAGGATCTTCTGCTTATGTCTTGGTGTCAGATACCACAGGACATATTTGGAGGTCTTGTGGAGTCAATGCCTCGACACATCACAGCTGTTTTAGCAGCATGAAGGGGACCTACACAATATTGGGCAGGTGGTTTTAATGTTGTGGCTAAACAGTATTTATAATATGCTATATATATACATGTTGTGTTCAGTTATTAAAAATATGACAGAGTTTGCTACTACTACAGTTTGCTATGGGAGAATGCTATAACAGAAGCCCACGGAACAGTGAGGTTTCAGCAGAAATACGTAGCCAGTCAATCTGCATAAAGTCCTTTGTTCAGGCTCAGACTACATTCAAAATTGGTATTATAGATACATTTGTCCTGAGGTGTGCAGTCTATTTTGGGTCTTTACTGCGGTTTATTTTAATTCCCTTTAACTATTTAAACAAGTAAGCGGTAAATTTTCCAAACGGATCACATTTAACACAGCTACACTGTAAATTATTTCCAGGATTTCACAAGATGTTACTGTAATATTTCACAGTAAATTACATTATTATCACTTCACAGGCTTTAACTGTGATTTTCACAGTATAATAACGTATTCAGAATTTCACTGTGAAAATACTGCAGGCGGGGCAGTTACAGGAAACTACTGTGAATTTGCGCGAGATTTTTCATCCGAGCTCTCTCGTCTCCGCCGTGGTCTCATCGACGGATTCAGCAGTAAGTGTTAAAATGTCAAATTCTGTCAATTTAATGACTGTTTTTCATATATATATCTGATAGTGCATGTAATTTAAAAGTATTAACCAAATAGCGTTACAGTAGTTGTAGGTTTTGGTTAACATTCTTGCATAGGTTTGAGCGCGCGCCTTCTGAAGCGAAACGATGCGTTAGTGTAAGAAAAATATCAATTTAAAATATGTATAAACTGTAATCTCCAGCTCCACCCAGTTCACGACAAAGCGTTCAACTGTATGACGTAGGAATAGCAGAAGACGCAACATAAGCTCCGGGGAGAAGAGTGTAGTCTCGTGAGAACCAAGTTTTGTTTACAGCACAGGAAACCACGTAAACTACATCTAGTTTTTGCCGCCGCAGCAGCCTACTCCATCTCGTGGAGCTCCTGTTCGGTTTACTCTGGTTCCAACTCTGTAATCATTTTGTCACCCTTTTAACATTTAACCATAGAACCACAGTAATGTCACCTTGTTCAAACTGAGCTAACTTAAGTTTTGCTCTGTAGTGCAACAGCTGTGATCTACTAAAGGTGGTGACTGGTTAATGACACCTCTTTCATCCCACTTGAATGAAACTAACAGCTTTCCTCTGCCTTTTTGTTTATAGGTGCTTCTTGGGAATAAATCCAGAGACAGGCATGAAGTCAAAGAGGCAGAGAGGTCACATCAACCAACAAGTCTGCACACTAATCAGAAAACTCGTTGATTTTGAATGGATGACAGTCTAGAATGTAAGCAGTGTTTCGTCCAGAACAGACCAACCAAACACTGGCTCGGTGTTAAGTTGCATGCAGTTATGCAGTAAGTTAGTCATTAAATATGTTCTTATAGTGTCTCTTCATTCAATGGAGAGAAGCAAAATAAATGTGTAAGAATAAATGTTCACAACAATTTATTGTGTTTTTGTGTTTATTTGGATTTAACATGTTATAGGTTATTAATGGTTTAACACATGAAAATGTCAAATTTACAGTATTTTAAAATAGGTTTTAAGTGTACATTAATAGCACATTACTGGCAAGTAATTTGCATTACAGCAGAATACTGTTAAATTGCAGTAATCTGATTACATTAACTGTAACTTTACAGATAAATACAGTAGTTCTACAGGAGCATACTGCTAAATCACAGTAAACTGATATACATCAACTGTAACTTCACAGTTAAATACAGTAATTCTACAGGAGCATACTGCTAAATCACAGTAATCTGATATACATCAAGTAACTTCACAGCTAAATACAGTAATTCTGCGGGAGAATACTGCTAAATCACAGTAATACGATGGAATCTTACACAGTAAGTTACTGTGAAAGTAATGTAGCTCCTTCACAGTAATTTACTGTAAATTTACATACAGTAATTTACTGTGAAAGTAATGCAACTAGTAGCCAGTAATTTACTGTGAATTTACGGTCAAATAATTTACAGTGTAGTCATTATTTAAAAATCTGATCTCATGCTTTCATTCCATTTGTACGTTATTCCTTTCCACATAATAATTGTTTGAAAACACAAAATCATTATTACATGTAATTTAAGGGTTAGCACAATCAAAGTATTTATTTATACAATTTATAGAATTATTTGTTAATGCATAATGATGTTTTATTAACAAAGTTTGGGAGGAGCACGTTCAGATAATCAACACATTCAGCACAGGTGGAGCTCATTTAGATAATCAACTTAATTAGCACGATAAATATATATACAGCCAACTCACCTCTGTCCCATGACAGTTTTCCAGCATCCCTCCTACACCCCAACTTCTCCCTCTTAACTATTCTTTTCCCAGCTTAGGGATAGGTGAGTTCTCTGGGTTCGGGCTATATTCCAAGCTGGGAGCCCTCCCCTCGGACAGCATGCCAAATATGCTTAATATTTGCTCAACCTGATTATATGTAAGTGTGAACTGGTGAATTTGTTATTAGAAAGACAAACAAATTTCCAAATATGCAACTCTAGATGGTGGTATCGGGTAAAACTTCAACTTATTTTAACTAAAAATGAGAAGTAAACAGGCAGTAATTAGATATTAAATAGAACAAATAAATAAATTGCAAACAATAGCACAAAAAATAACTGAATTAATAAGCAAAAAATAAGTGAAATGCTTTTTAGTTTTTTCTAAAGGTTTTTTTTTTTTTTTAGGTAGGTCTAACAGTAGTATTCAGGTACATACTGTAAATTGAATAACGTAAACTGAAGGTTAAACATGGCGGCGCGTTCACACGCTGCGGCTTCTCTCTCTCCCGACAGAAAGGTGTTTTCGTGTTTTTTGTCTTGTGAATCGCAGTGTTATCAAATGTAAAATAACACTGGATAATCTTCATTCTATAAACCAATACATATTAATCCTTACAATTAAAGTTACAAAAGTTACTCAGCCAAAAGCAGTGAGTGATTTGTCCTATGTTGTTTGATTAACATGGATAGCAGCACATATATAAGCTGCTGTCACTTTTGTCTGTGCTGACTTGACTTCTTTGCTTAGTTTCATCACTTTCGCTTTTATTCTTGTGCACTGACTTGTTCGTGCAAATTAACATCTGAATCTCTCTCACGATGGCACCGACAGACACGATTCAATATGCTCAAGTGGCCAAAAAAGCCCCTGATGTGGTCCAACGGTTCTGACTAGTGCCAATGGTCTAACATTGGTTGGTGGCCGACCATCGGCTTGTTGTGTCAGAGCGTTTAGAGTGTAAATGGAATTAAAGAAATCTTAATGCAGCACAAAACAAACCAACAAAACTAAATGAAAGCGAACACATGAGGAACAGGTGAAAACAATTAATGGTGCACTAAGAGATTAAAAAAAAAAAACAAAAAAAAAAACGCTTTTGACCACAGGGTCGGACCATGTCCCAAAACACACTTGTAGCCAATCAGCAGTAAGGGAGCGTGTCTTGTAGTGACAGGGAGAAGAGAGCTCTCAGTTTGAGTGCACAGGACGGATATTAGCAGATCGACTATAGATTGAGAGAAATGACTGATAAAAAAAAGAGGAAAGTATCAGAGAAACAAAACATTAAAAAGAAGGGTTACAATCAGGCAAGAGGTAGGACCTGCATAAATATCAGGAGTAGCTTTCCAGCTGTGGAGAGAACTCCAAGAAGCGGGAAGGGCTCGAATCGGACACCGAGGTTGCATTGTTTTTTCTTCTTGATAGGTGAGTAACGTTGATTTTTCAACTCTGTTTTGGCTTTTGTTTGAATATGCTTGTGTGTCATCTTAGCTTGTTTCCGCAATCATTGTTATGCCATGGTTGTGTACGTACGTGTGGGGCAGAGATTTCAAAATCGGTACGAGGTCCTGTTGGGGTATGGGCGTGTTTGTTTTGGTGCTTTCAAATATTAACATCGTTTGGCAAAAATCCCTTAGTGCACCTTTAACCGAATGAGTACTAGACAATGGTTAAACAATGGGGCGTGGCCCCAAGGAATCAAAATCAAGGAGGCAGGACAGGGTAGCACATCACTTTTCAAAGGATGCTTTTTTCAGAGGTCGCATTCGTCAGCCTCGTACATCATCAAGGTTGTCTCATTTCAGAAAAGTAGCTATTATAAAAATAACTTTTAGGTCGTGTGTCCACCAAAGTTTTTTTTTCCCGAGGCTAGCATATTTTTTTCAATTGTTTTCAATGGGAGTGCCGCATTTTTTTAAATGCCAGCAGTGACGAGGCGCTGAGCATCTTTTTCACACAGTGCTTGGGTGATTTTTTTTTTTTCTGTGCCGAGAGTTGAAGCATGTTCAAATTGGGGTAAAACGCAGCACTCATCACTGTCACTTTTTAGTCAGCCGTCCAATCACAGTGGAGCACCGAAAAAAAAAAACCT